CTGCTCTGTGCTGGGAGCCCTGCTCTGCCCGGGGCGCAGGGCCGGCTATGGGGACACAGCCTCAGCCCCAGCACATGGCAGCAGGCAGGGTGGCAGGAGCCCCACGACAGCTTGCCAAGGGCCAGCAGCCCAAGCCCAGGCTGTCCCGCCTTCCCCGCGTGCCTGTGGCAGGGCCCAGGCCACACGGCCACGCTAGGGCAGCGGGGAGGATGGCACCTGCCCAGCTGGGTCTGGAGCTCCGGTGCCGCGGGACGACACGGCGGCTCGGGGAAGGTGGGGTCGGACACCAACCTCCCGCCCAGCCAGGCGTTTCTAAGGTGTCTGCATCCCGTTCTTTGCTTTGAAGAATGGCAAGAAACCAGCACAGGCAGTACCAGAGACACAGCACCCCAAAGTAGTAATAAACACTCTATTTGGAGAGCTTCACCTTAGGGAAACAGCAGATACATAAACACTGGGTACAGGAGGAGGCACACTGCCAGCACAGCCGCTGCAGCGTCACGCAGACGGGGCAGTGCTGGCAGGGGATCCCTCTTGGTGTCACCTGCCCTCGTACAGCGGGACGAGGGCCATGCAGCAGAGTCCGGGGCTGGAGGCCGTCCGGCGCTCCCGAGCACACAACGCTCCTTCAGTTCACTGCCGTTTTCTGCTCGTTGATCAACTTGCCAGGTTTAAAAGCACTCCCTCTTTAGCGGGGGACTAAGATCAGGCCTCAGCAGCGGTGCAAGCCTGGAAAACATCAGGAAGGCAAACCCAGACCGGCAGGAGCCTGTCCCAGGTGAAGACAGCAGCTCTGTGCAGGGTGAAGAAAGAAACCACAGAACATGCACCCTGCGGAGCAGGGAGGGGAAGGCACTCGCTCCAGGCAGAGAGATGAACATCTGGCTCTTTCCCCCGGATTAACCCAATGAGGGCAGACGCTGGTTTTTGGAAGCGCCCTCAGGAGGGCGACAGCGGCTCCGGGGAGCACCCGGAGCAAAGGGCCCTGTCCTGCCCTACCAAGAGATGCCGCAACCCCGGCGCGGGAGGGCAGCTCTGCGGGCAGCCCTGCAGCGCCGCGCGGTGCAGCCCTCCCTGCACCCAGCACCCCGCGAGGCCGAGGCAGGTGCTGGGGGTGAGAACAGCGCGGTAGCCACGGGCTAGCACAGCCCCAGCTCCGCCAGGCACCGAGCTGCAGCACGGGCACCGTGCGACGCCAGCGCAATGGCTACGGCAGCGCCCCTGCCTGAGGGTGAAACAGCCGAGGAACTCGCCCAAAACACAACTCTCAGAAGCCAGCCCTTCAGCACAGGGCTTCTACCAAGTACAGCGCACTAGCACTGTGAAGAGATCACTAAGCTTTAATTTCCACGTTTGAAACGTAGAACGGCTTGTTTTTTTTTCTTTCCTCCAGGTGATACAATCTGCAAGAACTTTGTGGAGAAGGGCTGGCCAAGCAGCATCTAGCAAACGACTAATGAAGGCAGCTTTTCAAAGACCTTGTAGGAGTTTTTCTGGTCAGCTCATGATTTAACTGAGTTGTAACAGTTTTTTATTGTATGTGTATTTCCTTCCTCCTTTTTTTTTTCCCCTTAAAAACATTATTTCCCTGGAGTATTTTGTAGCAAAATGCAAAATTTTGCACTCTGATGCAGATCCTGATAGAATTAAAAGTCTGAGATAAGCTCATCTCACTCTACCTTTCTTTCCAACTGCATTTAGATCTTAGAGATCTCATCACTGCCAAGTCTGGCTGGGGTTGATTTAAGTTACAAGGGATACAAAGACACACATGGTGAATGATCACATATACCTGTTTCCATAGGAAACCAGGCTAAACAGTTACTTCCTTCCACATGGAAATCCTCAGAGCAGAGGGCTGAGCTGCCTGGAGAGCCAGGAGCTCCAACTCATTTTCCAGCCCCACTCCTACCACTAGCAGCTTGTGCAACACAAATTGTAACTACTCGTTACCCAGAGCTAGACAGCAGAGCTCCAGAACGGGCGCTGCAGTCACTAGGAGAGGCTGGAACAGCAAGCAGTGGCTCAAAACAATCCTGCACACAAACCTGACTGGAGGAGGCACAGGGAGCTGCAAATCCCTCTTTTGGGTCTGCACAAAGCCAGGCCGGCCGCACAGCGCCCCGTGCGCACGGCCGAGCTGCTCCCTGGGGTCTGGGAGCTCTCCCCCGGCAGCAGACACCGTGGAGCCCGGGATGCTGCCCCTTCCAGGTGCGAGGATCCGCTATTTGCTCTGCGGAGGGAGGAGGTGGCCTTGCCAGCCTGTTGCCAGAGCCTCCGTATTCCAGATACACACTTCCTCTCACACCACACCCACCTTTACAGGAAGCAATTGCACAATGAAAGCTACTCTAAGGGAGTGAAGTATTTGCTGTCTAGCAAGTCTTTTCCAGCTGGATCCTTTTTCTGCAAGATTCAGCCCCCGTTCTGTTCTGCTCAATGGGCGCATACAGGAGGGCAGGGCTTTGCTTATCCAAGGGGATAATGAAACCATTGTGGGCTGGCAAAGGACGTGTGTTCTTGAGCCACCAACAACTCCAAGAACAGTGCTGCAACTTGCTCTAGAAGTCTTGGCTGAAATAACTGTAGCCTCCTGGGGCAGTTGACTCTTCCCGAACGTACTGCTGCGGTGGGAACGCTCCTACAAGCGGCACTGCTCCTGGTATCCTGGACATCCAAGGGAGCAGCAAGAAGAGAATGGAGAAAGAAGAATGTCAGAACTGCTCTGCAATGTCACCTGCAAACACTGCTATCAGCAGAGCAAGGGCCTGCCACAGCCAAGGCAACAGACTTGCCAGGAAAGCACCCAGGTGCGTTCTTCCCTCTGTGTGGATGTGCTCATGTGTGGAAAAGCCAGGTTTAGCAGGGCAGAATCAGCTATTGCCCAGCTCATGGTTGTAAAGAGCTCCCATTACAAAGCAAGACCCTTTCCTCTCCCTTCAGACTGCAGGAGCTGACTGGAACGTGATGTCGGAGCTAACTCCAAAAGCAGCTTCCTGAAAGGGGAGTTATCCCCCTCGCTGGGAAATTCAGCTCTGAATCTGCCTGCACTTTAGGCAGGGTGTCCTAATGCATTGTTCTTTAATTTCTTCCTAAGAAAAACACCAGTTAATCTGGCTTCGTTACTGACCATCTCTTAGTTAAGGTTCTGGAATTAAGGATCCCAACTTTGACAGTGTCCAGCATAAGTATTTTTAGTATCACGTGTCATCTTCCTGGCAGCCTAAAATGTCAATAACATTCCCAGGGGATCCTGCTATTTAACTCACTAACCAGGAGAAGTTGTTCAGCAATATAGTCCTGGTTTCTGGAGTGCACTGACTACATCCTCAATTGCAAGACAAGCAACTCAAGAGAGACTAGAACAGCAAGCAGACCTCACTAAGTCAGGCTTGAATTAAATTAAAATCTTGGTTGCTACAGAAACCGTGTTTAATGGGTGTCAGGCTGGATGCATTCACTCCAGAGGCCCACACAACCTTTTCAGGAGCCAAAAGCAATGGAAGGGCACTTTTATTTTCAGCAGCACCCCGGAGCTGTCTGCAGAGGGAGCTGTGAAAGAAGCTGAGCAGGTGGAAAGCACCACAAGTGGAATCTGCTTCAGAACAAACAGCCCAAGCTTCACAAAACTGTACTGTTCTGCTTGCAAGTCAGCTTGAAATATGCATCCAAAAGTGTAGTTATGTTACAGTTAAGCCATTGATTTGAACAGTGAAGCTGGAAACACACTTAAACAAGAAAGTTACTTACTGATTCTTGTGTTTGAAGCCACTGATGTGAGCTTGGTACTGCTCTATGGAGTTCAGTACTATGTTACATGTGGTGCAGGGGTAGCCCTTCCCAGCTGAAACAGACAGCAATGTTAGCACACACAGCTAGCCAACAACTTTGTGCCTGAGGTACAAACAAGTGAGATAATCAATCACTTGCTGTGGTAATTAACTGTTAAATAGAGAGAAATAGCTAGTTGCTAGCAGGTAGGGAGGTCACAGAATCCAACCACCCCATCGGCATCTTAAAACATTGGTCAGTTGCCGCAGAGTGGGGTGAGGGAATCACTATTTTTTCCTGGTCACAGAGGTTTGCTCATCTATGAAAAAATAATAGAGATTTTCTACAAACAGTTCATACTATCAAGCCTAGTAAAGAACCTAACAATAGGAAGCCATACCTGTCATTATACAGAATCTGCAATTCCACTTCTCTCCCAAATTTTCACTTGTTCTGATCTTTATATCAAATAAAAGAACGAAAGGGAGAGGCATAAATTTGTAAATGAATATTTAAGCAAAATCAAAATTTAAAATATTGAATTATTTAAATATATTACCTGAAATATTAAATAAATGTTTAATATTTATTAAATAATTTAATCAAAAATTTAAAAAGAGTCAGAGGAGATTATACAGGATGTCAAGCTCCACCACGCAGCATTCTGCTAAGCCGTGTTGAAGTGTGAATTGAGAATACTAAACTCTATCCTCAAGCAGTTCAGCTGCAGCCAGTGTATCAGTTAACTGCAAAAAAAAAAGTTTCCGACAATGTTGTACTAGACAGATCAACGGTCTTGTGTAACATGACAGCTCCAGCTGGAATGAAGGTTCTGGAGGTCACACATACCAAACAAGCAGGCATGGTAGTACAGTCTGCTGCAGGAGCCTGTAAGAGGGGAAGCTCTTGAGGGCAGTTGTCCTCAGGACATTAATTACTCTCCAACTCCAGCTCTCTGGGGAAGGGCTCTGCCTTAGCAACTCACATAAAGAAAATTTCCTTGAGGTAAAGAAATGTCAGATGTTCACCCTAGGGGTGCTGAGCAGTGCGGTGTCGGAGTCAGACGCACGACACAACGCAGCAGATGTTTCATCACTGGCTGCTTCACTGCAGAGGGTTCACACACTAATGGGCCGCTCGACTCTTGAAACAGAGAGCTGGACACGGGCATAAAAGGCCAGACGACCAGCTGCAGTCACCACATCCACCCCTCTGCATGACAGAGGTCAAGATCTGTGCTGCAAGTCCAGCAAACTGGCACATACAGCAAGTCCTTTAAACTGCACTCCTGGAGCTGGTGGTTCCTGGAGGAACTTTAATTGGACAAGGTCTGGGTGGTGATCTATGGAGAACAGCTTCACTCGCTACCAGATCCCAGCAGAGACCGGTTTAGCGATGGGACAGGCCAGGGAAAGATACCAGCCACCTCACAGAAAATAAGAATCAGCATCTGAGCTCAACCTTATAAAAGAGGAGAACCAAGTCGAGTGTGCTGGGAAGAAATCTCCTAGCATGCCAGCTTGGCACAGCCGACAGCAAAGGGAGAGGGGCAAAATGAACAGGAGGAAACAACCCGACTGAAGCCCTTTGAGCCACCCGTTACACGGGAACGGCTCCCGATTACAGCTGAAGCTCTGAAACCCTGTCTGGAAGAGCCAAAGTGCCACGAAGACATAGATGTTGTTGCTTCATCCTGCAAGTGCTTCACAGAAGACATCAGTGACACAGAACTCCCCACTTACCCAGCCTGCCCGGGCTGGGGCTCTGCCACTGGCACATCCTGAGTCACAAGAACGTGGAGCCCTTGATCAGGCCCCACTAATTAAGCAAAGACAGATGGATAACGCTAGATATAAAGCACCTCTTCCACCTCCCACATGACTAGGCAGTGTGGGAGAAAACACTGGATAATTGAGCCTCATTTCTCATAAGTGCTACCAATATCTAAAGGTAGCTTGCCAAGAATTAGGATAATCTTCTGCTTATGGGGACATTTATGACAGAGAAAGAAGCCTTTGAAGAGGATTTTAGCACAATTTATCTGCTTGTTTTTTTACCTCAAGCATCCAGCAGGTACCAGATTTCCTGGTCCAACAGAGGGCTCCTGAGAAGCACAAGGAAGTTTACTGTGGGCTGCTAACACTTTCACTAGCCTCCAAGAGCTTTCAACACTTAGAAGTACTCATAAGCAGCAGATCATAAACTAAGTGAAGAGTTTTAACTGTCTGCCTAAAGCTCCTCCTTAATAGCTCAATTTTTCACATTCCTGCCTGCTTCAGAGAGAGCTACATTAGTTCATCAGATGGAAGTGCCCACACAGAGGCAAAAAGGCAGAAATCTCTCTGGCTTTCATGTTCTTTGAAGCAGCAGCTGCAGTTAAACCTATTTTTCTTCCATCTTTGGCTGGTCCCCTCTGACGATATTTTTTTTAATCAAATGTCACTTTTATCTTTCCATTTTGGACACAATCCACCTAGCTGGAAACAGTACTGGCCAAAATCCCTGCGTTCCCCACAGGGAGAATGAAACGGACATACCCGATCAGACGGCGTCGTGGAACACGACCCAGCGCTGCAGTCTCAGCCCCCCTCTTGCTGCCAGGCGTTTACAGCATCAATCAAATCAACCTTACAGTGAAGAATCGCTATCCCCCACCAGCAGCAGATCTCCCTTGTTCCCTGCACATGGACTGCCTGGCCCAGAGACCTGTCAGACACATCCTGTCACTCTCCCACTCTGCTCTTCAGCAATTTATTTATTAACCTGCCTGCTAGGAACTCACCCATGAAGGACGACGCTGATGCATCAGGGGTTCGGCCATAGTGTGCCATCAGCTTGTGTTTGGTCTCTTGTTTTCTGTGCTTCTTGCCCACATAATGCTGTTTTGCCATGAGGGGGTTGTTGAAAGTAGCATGGCAGAGACTACAGAACTTGTCTGGGTCAGTAATGTCCTTGTTCTCTTGGTTGGAGGACACAGTAGAAGCAGGGAGGGCAGCAGGATGTTTCTGGGAGGGCACCACTTCTGTAGGGTGAATCAAAATCGTTGGTCAGTCACAGAATGTAGAGGTAAAAAGCAGTTGTTTAATTTCCCCCAATACATATTAAAAAAAAAAAAAAGAAAAAGCAATGTTAGACAGAGAACGTTAGACCTCTAAATATGCTCAGGTTGTTCCCATCTCTTCCCTTAACAGTCCAGAATCAGAAGCATACAATAAGACAATTTAGAGTAGGCCAGAACAGAAGTACTTCTAGGGTTAAAAAAAGAAGAAAAAAAGAACAGATTTGCATATTTCTCCTCAATAGAGTTAACATAAGCATAGTTTTATGCAAATACATGACATAGATCATTTCCCTCCTGCTGCTATGAGCCAGGCAAAGAAAGCAGGATGCAGTGAGAACAGAGCCCTTCTCTAGGGAGGCCAAGCAGGTTTCTGCAAACGCTGTCTAACTGCAGGACTCGATCCTGAAGCAAAGGCAAGGGTCTTGCTTCAGAAACAGCACAAACAGGACTAGGCCTAACGCGGTGAATTGACAGAGCGAACCAAACTCTCCTGTATGACGGGGACATCCACTGTGGCCTCTAATTGAAGATGAACTTTCCAAGTGCCCCAGACCCTCCCCGGGCTGCAGGGTGGGCAGGCTCCAGGCTGCCTCTGTGTCCTCAGCTCGGTGCCAGCACAGACCACCCACCGGGGGCACCCAGAGGCCACATTTTTCTTTCAACCTGACAGTCTGTACAGACCACCCAGGACTCCGGGGCTCCCTACCTGCTCCTTCACCCTCCAGACCTCTCTATCTGCTGACCATGGGGTGGGAAACACAGGCAGCTGCTATGGCCTCAGATCGAGGTCTGCCTGGAGAGCACCCAGCCTTGCCCGTGGTTGGCAGTGGATGCTGTGGCAGGAGCACGAGGCCAGGACACGCACACATGACACTGTCCAGCTGTATTCTCCCAGTTCTCAGCAACCTGCAGCTCAGAAATCCCTGAATCACAGAGCCTACATCTTTGCTTCAGATAGCACTGTGAATTTGTGTTTTCTGAGTTCCCCCAATCATTTCAAGTCCCTGCAAGTTTTTAACAGGCACCATATCCTGTAACAAACATTTCTATGGCTTAAAGTAATGCTCCATGAAGGGCTCTCTCCCATTCCCAGCACAGAGAGGTGGATGCAGCACAGATGTAAGCTGTGTTTATCCTAACCAAAGCACGACCCCACTCAGCATCTCCTTAATGCCTGCCTGCCAGGCAGGCTGAACCTCAGGAAGTGCCCTGTAGCCTGCCCTATTTCATGTGTAGGAACATTTGCTTACACACAAAAGCTTAAACATGGGTCCAGTGACACTTCTCAACTCAATCTTCTGAATTTTTAGCTTGAGCAGCCTCCCTTTGTACAGCACAGAAGTGCTGCACAGAGACCTACCTTCCACTTTGGGGGACTGCTGCTTCACATTCTTGGCGTGAGTTTTGCCCAAGTAATGAGAGGTTGCCACAGCCGGAGAGGAAAAGGTCATGTTGCAGATGGGACAGCACTTGTTCCTGTCGTCCCCATTGCTGCTCTCCTGCTTGCTCTCCTGTTCACAAGAGGAAATAGCAAAGTTTAGGTATCTATGAAAGCAAAATAAGCAGAGATGTTTAGGTGTTGAGGAGATTTGACTGAACAGGGTTTCCATGACACAGCACCACTCCTGCCTTCAGTGAACAGCAACTTTCTCCTGCTTTCTGCCGCTAGTGAAACACTTCAGCTAGGGGGGCAGACCCAGCCTACAGGAGTTAAGGAGAAGGTTAAATGCCTGCGTGCCAGAGCGGGAGCCGCCAGCCCTCCTCTGCACAAGGTGTGCGATCCCGACGTCGCTATCAACTGGGCCATCTGCAACACGATGCTGGCTGAGCAGGCGACAGCAGTCACTTCCAAGCTTGACATGACATGCAAAGGAATCCTGTTCTCGATCCCATCCTCTCCCCTCTGCTACAAATGCTTGAGGGTTAGGGATTAAAGCTGCAGCAATCACAGAGGTAGAATCTGTTTCCCAAATGAGTTGTGGGGCAGACAGATGGCCAAGTGGAATGGATCCCCCTCCCAGAAAGTGAATTCCAGTAGCTGCTCACTCCACGAATACTCTCACTGAAAGGAAAAATGATTCCCTCGCAGTTCAAATCATTCCCAGGATGGCTTCCAGTAAAAGGAGATATGCAGTTGTTTAAAACACAAAAGGCAATGGAGCTGCACTCATGGAAAATGGCTTAGTGACAGGACTGACACTGAGCTACTCAGTTCAAACAACACCCTTTCCAAGGGCACACTCTGCACTTACTTTCAAGGCCCTCTAGATCGTGTAACACGCAACTTCCTGAATTTTAATAATAATAAAGAAAACCTGTATTTTTTACCTGCTTAGCATCCAGCTTCATTTTCTTCCCATGTGCAAGCTCCTCTTCACCATGGATAGACAAATACCGCCTGACTTTGTTTGCGTGCTTCTTACTCTGAAGAAAGCATCAAGAAATAACTCCAAACAAACAAAACAACAAGAAAAAAAACCCATCGTTTAACACTTTTCCCTACGGAAACAACAGTCTTTAACGAAAAAAAGCCTTTAGCGGAAGCAGACCGCGAGGCTGGGCAGCAGCCCGGCCCTCACCTGGTAGTGGGCGAGCCTCTGGGACTCGGAGATGAGCAGCGCGCTGCACACCTTGCACTGGGCGTCCGTGAAGATGTGCCCGTTCTCGCGGATCATCCGCTCCACTGCAAAGACACAACAGGGCGCTCAAGTTTCCCGAAAAG